GGAGGGCCAGAGAAAGCTAGGGAGAAAGGGCTGTGGGGCCTGCACCAGCCCTTCCCTCCGCCTCTGCCAGGACTCTCCCCTGGACTCCCAGAGGCAGTTCCTGCTGTCCATGCTCCTTCCATTCCTGTGGCCCCTGGCTGCTGGGCCTTGGAAACCCCACTCGGCACTGACAAGCCACTGTTTGAGGTACCACCTTCTACGCCCGCTGGCAAAGCTCAGTGACAGATACTGGCAGGAAGGAGAAACCATTCAAATGGCAAGTAGAACTAATTACAGCTACCACAACAGTCACGGCTTCTTGTTCGTGTCTTCTCAAGGAAGGACACCCAGGAATGATGGTGTGTGATTGTGCCAGTCAGTCCACTGAGCAGGTTCACGCGATCCTGCACTGAGCTCTGGCAGGCCGACCTCTCCCTGAGTCAGCCTGCTCTAGGCCCCTAGATGCTGAGGGCCCTGGGCCCAGGGCTTGGGCTGTGTATGCAGAGGCCTGGACCACATCCTGACCCTGCTTCTCCCTCACTGTGAGGCCTTGGCAAGCCCTGCCCTCCCCCACCTCCAGGGGTCCACAAGGTGCTAAGAGTTGGGATTCTGTACCCGTAAAAAGAAGGAAACACTGCCCCTGCTCCAGAGGTGCAGAGCAGGTAGGTTGGAGGCAGGTTCTGTGGTAGGGATATTAGTTTCAGAGCCCAAGTGCACCCCAGCCCTGGGACAGATCCCCTGCTCTGGTTCTCAGGCTGCGGCTACCTTCACCTTCCACACTTTGCTTTGTCTACAGTAGACCCCACCTAAGCAAGTAGAAAGCCTGGAGCATGAGATAAAGGTCTAACTGTCCCTTTGTCACTCACAAACTCAGTGACCTGGAATAAGTCACTTCTGCTCTGTGAGCCTCAGTTTCTTTGTATAATCGGGCAGTTCCTATCTCAAAGGCTTACAGGCAGAGTTTTTTTCAAGGGATGAATGCACAGTCCCTGCACCATGCCGGGACGTGGTCAGGAGACATGTCACTGGCACCTTTGCATGTCACCTCCCCCACAAAGCACAGAGTGACTGGACAGCGGAGGGCTGAAGCAGAGCCTGGAACGGGGAGGCTCTGGTGCTCTGTCCCAGCTCTGTCCTCCTATCCTCCATTCCTCAGGAACTGAACCCACCCAAGCTGAGTGTCGACTACTTATGTGTTTCAGATTTCTTAGACTTAGAAACTTTTTTTTAAATCTAAGAAAAGTTCTGTTCACTGAAATGCTTAAGCCAATGAGCTGTTCTACTTTCTTAGCTCCCTAATTAGGAATTCAGCACAGGGCCTGGGACAGTAGTAGCCCTTGGTATAAACATCAGTGTGGTAGAAGGTAAAGTAGAAAGTCTCTCTTCCCCCATTGCCCTCCTTGTGAAGATGGTTCTAAAAGGCAGTGGTCCCTTTCTCCCTTTAGTAAAGAGGGTGTAGAAACTTCCAGAATATTTCTCACCTTTGAGGATTTGGAGCACCTTATAGTCTCCACACAAACTAATCCAAGAGGATGATGGGGCACATGCAGGAAATCAGGGGACCCTGCCTGCACCCAGCACACGCTCTGGCCACTGCCCACTTGGATTTTCCATCCCATCCTGTGTTTTTATTTTGTTTCCCTCTGCCTCTGTCTCCTCACAGCCGCATACGGGCCTCCTGACCGGGTAATGAAGGCCCTGTCTCCAGCTAGATCTGGGCTTCCTGCTTGTCAGCCCTCAGTTCAGCCTTAATGTTGCCTGAAAAGCTTGTGAAGGGTTGGGAGTAAATGTTGGGGCTACAGCAGGACTTCAGAAACTTGCTGAGGTGCACTGCTCAGTTCAATGCAGGTCCTCACTAGTGTCCTCGTCATTGGGCAGATAGTCTGTGCAGGTGGCCGTGCCTCTCTGCCTTTCCCATCAGCATACCCTAGATTTGGGCCCAGGCGGACTGCAGGAGCTCCAGGTAGTGACTCTGGGTTCGGGGTAACTTAGGAGCTGGCCTCAGACGTGGAGTGGTACCCTCGGCACGGGGGGCCTTCTGCAGCCTGAGCAGAGAGAGCTTCCAGCTTGGCTTCAGAGCTCTCTCTGCCTGGGCTCCCTGGAGCTTAAGGCTTGGAAGGTGCCCTCTGTGGGGCAAAGGTTTTGTCACCACACACAGGCTCCGGGGAGGCTATACACCTGCATTCACTGTAGTTCGGGTGCAGAGGTGAGGCCACCGGGTGATGGTCTGCATGAGCTGGCATGAGTTACTCACTTCTTCATCTGTAAAGTGGACGTAAGTAATCACACCTCAGTAGAATACAAAGTCCAGAAAGAGTCCCAGAAACAGGAATTTAGGACACATCAGGGGTCATCTCAGTGGTAGGGAAAAGATAGCTCATTCAAGAGATGGACAACTTGCCACCTAGAAAAAAATTAACTGGATCCTAACCCTTAAACCTTACATTAAAAAAAAAAAAAAATCCAGCTAGATTAAAGATTTAATTGTAAAAAATGAAACTAAAATTACAGCAAGAGAATATGCAAGAATTGTTTTTTTAAAAATCTTGGAGAGGGGAGGTCTTTCTAAGCCTGACAGAACTGAGGGAAGCTCTACAAGGTACAGACCAATGCATTTCTGGACAAACAAGGCCAACATGAAAGTCAAATGATGAACTGGAAAAACCAATTGTCTATTTATAGATAATATAAAAGGTGTTAATTTCCTTACTTTATAATTTTTCCATATCAAATATAGAAAAGATCAGCACCTCTGTAGATAAACACACAAAGGCTGTAAGGGGGTCATTCCTGGAAAAGGAGCTACGGATGCTCCCCACGCGTCCTAGAGCATATGGACAGGAGCTCTGGGCCAAATCCTGGCCCCATGCTTACATATGTGACCCCCGTAAGTTATTCATGCTCTCTGGGCCTCAGCTTCCTGAGCTGTGAAGTGGGGGTAACAATAGTCCCTTTTATTAAGCGGGTTAGCAAGTGTCAAGCATGTGGAACATAGAATGGGGTAGTAATTGCTATGTACATACTTGATTGATAAAACCCGAAAAGACGCAGGAGTGCCCCAGTGAGTGGGATGCTCTTATGATAAGAAATGTCTGGTGATAAGCCCTGTTGCTGACAGTACGAGGAACCTAGCACTCCTGTCACTGACGGGAGTGTAAATACGTGTTAGACTCCTGAATGCGCATACCCTTTGACCAAGCAGTCTCTCTTGATAACCATCCTAGAGATGAAGCACATATGAGGGTATTCGTGCGGTATTGTTTGTAAAGTTGAAATGGGAAATAGTCCACCTTCAGTGGGGAACTGATTGAATAATTTGTAATATGTCCCTAACCCGGATGATCATGCAGCTTTGACAAAAAGAGGTGGGTCTACCTATACTGATATGGAGCAGTCTCCCAGATACAGGCATACCTTGTTTTATTGCACTTCGCTTTATTGCACTTTGAAGATACCACATTTTTTGCAAATTGAAGGTCTGTGGTAACCCTGCGTTGATCAGGTCTGTCAGCGCTGTTTTCCCAGCACCATTTACTCATTTAACGTCTCTGTGTCATATTTTGGTGATTCTTGAAATATTCCAAATTTTTTCATTATTATATATTTTTTTAAGATTTTATTTATTTGAAAGAGTGAGCGAGCCTGATGCAGGCCTTGATCCCAGGACCCCAGGATTATGACTTGAGCTGAAGGCAGACAACCGAGTCACCCAGGTGCTCTTCATTATTATATTTTTGTGGTGATCAGTGATTATAACTCACTGAAAGCTCAGATGGTGGTTAGCATTTTTTAGCAGTGTTTTGTAATTAAGGTATGTATGTTTTTTTAGACATAATGCTATTGCACACTTAATAGACCGCAGTATTGTGTAAGCATAACTTTGATATGCCCTAAGAAAGCAAAAAATTCATTTGACTCATTTTATTGCAATATTCCCTTTATTGCTGTGGTCTGCAACCGAACTCAGAATATCTCCAAGGTATGCCTGTGTATTAAGTCATAAGAATAAGGTGTCGAACAACATGTACAAGAATTCTGTTTGTGGGGAAAGGAAGCCGGCTCCGGAGGGACATCTGGGAAAGCAATAAGTTGCCTCTGGGGGCACACTGTGGCTGAAAGCGGGGCAGAACCTGTGAGTTTTCATGGATCATAATCTGATAAAACCTCCCAGGCAACACTCCTGTGAGGAATAAAACATCCTCATAGAGGTTGGGGGGCAGGGAGCAGCCAGATCTGAGCGCCACCACCAGACACGTGGCCTCGGCATGGTTTTGACCTGTGTGCCTCGTTTTCCTCATCCCTGAAACGAGGATGGAGAAAGACAGCCCACCGGGGTCAGGAGCGTGAAATGGGGTGGTCCGAGTCAAAGCCTCGGGCCCTGTCAGTAGCGGGCAGGTGTGCAGGAGGCGCCAGCCCCCCTCCTCCCCATCACGGTCAGTGGCCCAGCTCTGGCGCTCCCCAGCTCCCGGGCTGCCCAGAAGCCTGTTTCTGACGTTTCTGCTTTGAGACTCCTTTCCTCCTTGGGGTGAGTCTGGTTCCTTGGCTGCTTACCTGACGTGCCTGCTTCGGCCTTCGAGTTAGGAAAGCAGGTCTGTGAGGAGGCTTGGGAGAGGCCCCCTGGGCTTCATCTCCGAGGTTGTGGAAGCTGCCTCCCAGAGAGGCGCACGCACTCAGAGCTGGGCTGGGGCTGGGGCCGGGGCTGGGCACGCTGCGCACCCTGGGCCCCGTCAGCTCTCGTCCGCAGCACTGCCCTCTGCACATTCCAGAGCCCCGGCACGGCCCAGCTCGCCCGGGGGCCGCTCAGGCGGGAGTGGGCTGTCTGGGCAGACTCGTCTGCGGCTCCCCTCAGCCTCCTGCCTGCACGAGACCTCTCGGTGGCTGGCCCGGCCTGCACGAGGAGCCCAGGATCTCTGTCCCCCTCTGCCTCTAAGTAAAGGAGAAGAATCTGGTGAGGGGCCACGAGAGGCTGCTACCAGCCACCAGTTTGGGAGGGTGCTCACGTCAATCTCTTCTGCTGTCAGGGGTCTAACGTGATGGAAGAGCAAGACCTGCGGGAGATCGGCATCAGTGACCCACAGCACCGGCGGAAGCTGCTGCAGGCGGCGCGGTCCCTGCCCAAGGTGACCACTGACGGCTCTGCAGCCTCGGCCAAAGCCACGGCCCTCTCCCGACCCCACCTGGACCCGGAATAGGGAAGGAGCTTGGCTCCAAACAGGGCATGTAGATCACTGCAACGTGTCTGCCCCACATCCTGGGGGACCCAGCAGGCAACACAGAGGCCTGTTTACTTTCTTGCCAAGTCCCGAGGCCCCAGAGAGTCAGCAGAGACTAGGGACAGTTGAGGACCCAGTCTAGGCTCCAGAGGGAGGCTCCAGGCCTCTGCCTAGCACAGGACCTGGTACCCACAGGCTTGACCTGTCACCTGGAGCCTCTTTGGGGTCTTCCCTGACTCACTGGAGACCAGGCCAGCCTGCACCGACTTCCCCAGGAAGGCAGAGGGTTGTGGGCAGAGGAGGCATTTTTTCCCTGGGGAGCCAGGGGCTGGTAGCCCCAGCCTCTCCCCTTGACTCTGCTGGTGCTAATAAGTCCAGTGTACACTTGTTTGTTCCGCTCACCCCGAGCTGGGGGAGCACGACCAAGTCCCAACAGTGAGGCCAATGCCCACTTCACAGGAACACACCATGTTGTCCCACCAAGTCCATGACCTTGTCAGAGCTCAGTGGGAGCCCCTCTGTAATTGCTTCCTCCCCTCTAGCCGTACCCACTAGGGCTGTCTTCCCCGGGCCTGGAGTGCTCTCCACCTCACAGATGGGGGTGCCGAGACCAGAGCAGCGGTAGAAAGGGCTGGGTGAAGGGAGGGGACCCTGGTCTCCTGGGCTTTAGTCCCAGGAGTGCTAAGATGTCAGTCCTGCCCCTTCTCGCCCCACAGGTGAAAGCTCTGGGCTATGACGGCAACAGCCCCCCATCAGTGCCCTCCTGGCTGGACTCCCTGGGGCTGCAGGACTACGTGCATTCCTTCCTGTCCAGTGGCTACAGCTCTATTGACACTGTGAAGAACCTCTGGGAACTGGAGCTTGTCAACGTGAGTGCGGCCTGTGCTCAGGCCTGGCCTGGCCCCCAAGGGTGCGGTCCAGGGGTGGGAGGGGAGCTGTGGGTGCCAGCATGGCCTGACCGCCCCCCCGCCCCCGCTCCCGTCCAGGTCCTGAAGGTCCATCTCCTCGGCCATCGCAAGCGCATCATTGCCTCCCTCGCAGACAGGCCCTACGAGGAGCCGCCTCAGAAGCCCCCACGGTTTTCCCAGCTGAGAGTGAGTTGGGGAGGGATGGAAACGGATAGGTGTGCCCTTCATATTGCTAGGAATCAAAGAGAATTCTTGAGGCATTCTTTGGAAACAGCATGACCTCCGTAGTAGAGGCGGGAACTTTCCGTCCCCTCTTGTCGGGGCCATTCTGCCCCCGGGCCCAGTGTGTGAGAGGAGCATAGAGCAGGAGTTGTTTGGGCTGGTCATTTATTGATTGTGTGCCTCCTGTCTACATCCGAGAAGCCTGACGGCGTCTATAATAAAGGGTCCAGTTTAAATATAAGTAGAAAGTAAAATGTCAGAAAAAGGAAAACAAATATCCGAATCCCAGCCGCTGTGGCAGAGCCGGGGGGCAGCGGGGCACAGTCTGATGTGAACCTGAGACAAAGCTGGGGATCCATGGCAGGACCTGCACCCTCCCCAAGTCTTCTGAAGTAAAAGCCCTGCAGCGGGGTGGGTTCAAGAAGCTTTGACTTGAAAACCTCACAGATGCTTTGTTGCTCAGGCTGGGTAATTCCTGACTGCAGGTTAGACTCGGGCCGAGCTGAGGTCTGGGACCAGCTCCGTTCCAAGCCTGCAAGCCTGAGCCCCTAACAAGCGCTGGGCTCGGAGCAGGGCCCCCCGCACTCCACCCGTTTCCGGCAGCCTCACCCAGAGGGCGTCATTCTATGCTGCCTTCACCCAGCAGCCTGGTCTGAGGGGCAAACGCACCACTGACTCTCAGTTACAGAAACCGCGGAGACGGGGCCTCAGGGTGCCGACTGGCAGCGCTGTATATTTTCTCAAGCAAGGGCTCTGGGTTTGGTCTTGTGCCCCAGGGAGCTGCGGTGAATTGTAACAGATGATTTGGTCTTTGATGAGTATGAAAGCAGCTTCCCAGCCCTGTAACCGTCCTTTTCCCCCCGCGGCTCCAGGCCGAGGAGCGTGTTAGTGACGTGGGGGTGCCCGGGGTGCCCGTGGTGACGGTGTGCCTACAGGACTGGGTCGCCGGGGCTTCCTGGCTCCGGGAAGAGTTCGGTTGCTTTGATGGTACCTGGGCTGGGCTCCCGGGCCAGCGTGCCATCCATTCGCTGCCTGCTTGGTGTTGGCCCTTAGCTTCATGTCCATTCTCACTGATCCACCTGCCCTAACGCGCCCCAGGACTGGCTGACAGCCACAATCCAGGGACTGGCCTCCTAGGTTCCAAGTGTTACTGGATTTCCCCCCACTACAGTGCCAAGACTTGCTCTCCCAGACATCGTCCCCGCTGAGCCAGAACGACTCCTGCACCAGCCGCTCCGCTGACCTGCTGCTGCCTCCCGGGGACACGGGCAGGAGGCGGCACGACAGTCTTCATGACCCTGTGGCACCTTCTCGAGCGGAGCGCTTCAGAATCCAGGTGGGGCCGGAGGGGAGCTGTGAATGGGGGTCCCCAGAGCCCTTCACTGTCCCTGTGTCCCCTGAGGTGGAAGCTGGGGTGGGGGCAGGGGGTAGGAGGCCACGAAAATCCAGGCGCCTGGATCAGCAGCAGGAGGAAGATACTGCCTCCTCCCCTCCCGGACCGGTGGAGGGGGCTCCCCTGCATCTTATGTGGCTCAGAAGTGCAGATCCACTGGCTCCTCTTTGACTGCAGCCTCTCCTTCCAGCCCCTCAGGCCACCAACCCGGTTTCTGCCCCATCTCAGCCACTTCTTGGTCCCTCGTTTGCTTGCCCTGCCTGTTCCCCAGAGCGGCTTTCTGCCCTCCTTAACTCCACACCCAGCAGCCCAGGTCGGGTGCGGCTGGGAGACACATCCAGCCATGCCATCTACCCTCCCAGAACCGCCAGCCTCTGCTGGGCCCTGGGCTGCCCTGAAGCCCTTGCCCTAGGCTCGCCCCGGCCCGCAGTCCTCGCTCGCCTTCTCAGGGCCTTGTGTTCCGGGCTCCTGATGTATTCACCTGCCCTGCCTCCTGCCTCGCACCCGGATTCCAGGCTTTGTGTCTTGTCCCCCAAATTGGCCTGCTGGACACAAGACTGGCACATGTCCCTCACCCCCCCCCACCCCCGACCCCCACCCCCGGCCAAGGAGAACTTCAGTTTCACTGCTTTTTTTCTCTTGACTCACACTCCTCATTTCCAGCACCTGGGGATGTCCTTCACGTTTCCACAGGCATGGCCATGAATCTGACGAGATTTCAAAGCATGTTGTCCAGCCGTTTTAGTTGCTGCGTATCAGAAGGCTTCCGCACAGTGCTGGGAACGGAAGTCATAAATATTTCCTGACTCTTTTCTCGCCTCCCCATTCTTTGGACCAGTGCCCTAGTGAAGGCCCCCATCACCTGGCACCTGGATTTCAGTGGCCTCCTGCCCCCTTCCCCCAGCTCAGCTGCCGCCTCAGGGAACACTATAAAAGGTCTCCCTAGCACTGATACCTGCCCACCCCAGAATCAGATCCAGGGGCCCTGACGGGGATATGAGACTTGCAGGGATCTGACTCCCGCTCCCCACCCTTCATGCTTTGAGCTTGTTTTCCCCTCTCTGGTTTTATTCATTTCCTGTCTCCACCTCAGAGCCTTCCCAACCACGCCTGCCCTCAGGTGGCCCAGGCCCGTGCCTCTCCACCTTTCCTCTGGCGTGGATAGGCCTCACCTCCGCCCCAGTGCACCTGCTTGGCTTTTTGTCTCCTGCCCTCCCCCCTGCCCTTGAACCCCTGGGGCTGGCTTCTTTGCCCTTGGGTGTGCTGGAGCCCACGAGTTCCTCTGGAGTGGGCAAGCAGACCTGTGACTCCACGTGTTCTACAGGAAGAGCAGCGCGAAGCCAAACTGACCCTTCGGCCCCCCAGCCTGGCTGCTCCCTACGCCCCAGTGCAGAGTTGGCAACACCAGCCAGAGAAACTCATCTTCGAGTCCTGCGGTTATGAAGCCAACGTGAGTTGCCCCTGCGCTCCCAGCCTGGCCGGCCTCCCTGCCACCCGCCCCTCCCGGCCGGGTCCAGGCCTCCGGTGCTGTTCTCCACTCCCGAGAGGGAAGGGGGGCCTCCCAGCCAGGATCGGGGAAGGGGGTGAGGAGAGGAAACCATCTGATTATGGTCCCAAATCGGTTGGGTCGCCCTGCATGATAGCACAGGACGTCCTAAGCCCGCTTACTGCCTACTCCCTCAGTATCTGGGCTCCATGTTGATCAAAGATCTTCGAGGGACAGAATCCACACAGGACGCCTGTGCCAAGATGCGGGTAGGTTGTCTGCAGGGGGGCGGCTGGCGGGGATGGGAGGCATCACCAGGGGCACCCGCTGCAGCCCCCGGGCCCTCCCACACCGTGTAAGGTCAGGCGGAGGCTGGGGCCTGTGGGATCCCAGGGGGCTTGGCCTTGAGAAGGGGCATTCACAGTCCCACTTCTTGTTTCCCCTAGAAATCCACCGAGCACATGAAGAAGATCCCCACTATCATCCTGTCCATCACATACAAAGGTGTCAAGTTCATCGATGCCTCCAACAAGGTGTGCTTCTCACAACTCTGTTAGCGGGAGTGGACCCCTCTCCCCGCCGCTCACTCCCCAGCCCCGCCGAGCTGCCTACAGTGTCCGCAGCCCTCTTTATTCCTCTGTATTCCTACCCGCTCGGCCAGGCGCTTGCCTCTCAGCTGCCACACGTCCTGATCCCGGGGCCCTGCCCTAGTGACAGGCGCCCCTGGTCTCCCTCAGCATGGGTTCCTTCAGCCCTCTTACCTGCTCCCGGGCCCTTAGTGGTGTGATTCTCTTCATGAGCAAAGGACTCCCCCCACACCCCGCACTTGGTAATGCCCTCCCCTGGAGGGCAGGGGCTGGAGAGCTCGTGGTCAGATGTGAACATCTGACGCCCTCCATTGCTGTGGTCGAGGGTGGAGACCCCTAAACCTACCTTGGCAAGGTTAGACAGTGCCCCCACGCCCACCAAACAAATCGGAGAAGTAGCGGCCGTGGGCTCACGGCCTGGGCTGGGACAAAGATGGCGGTGGCGGGGATGGTGTAGACGGGCTGAGGTGGCCTTGGGGCCGAGAATTCCAGACCCTGCTTTCCCCGGCAGAACGTCATTGCGGAGCACGAGATCCGGAACATTTCCTGTGCGGCCCAGGACCCGGAGGACCTCTGTACCTTTGCCTACATCACCAAGGACCTGCAGACCAGCCACCACTACTGCCATGTGTTCAGCACGGTGGATGTGGTGGGTGGGGCCCTGAGCTGGGTGCCGCAGGAGGGTGGCCTCGGTGCTGTGCTGTCCCGGCACGTGGGTGGCACCTGGCTCATGTCTGGTTCAGGCTGAGGCCCCAGCAGCCATCTGGGCCAGTCCCCCTTTTTTTTTATTGGTTTGTTTATTTGAGAGAGAGAACACAAGCAGGGGGAGTGGGAGAGGGAGAAGCTGACTCCCTGCTGAGCAGGGAGCCCCATGCGAGGCTCCATCCCAGGATCCTGGGATCATGACCTGAGCCAAAGGCGGACGCTTAACCGGTTGACTGAGCCACCAGGCGCCCCCGGGCCAGTCCCCTGTAGACAGTGATGAGACTGAAGCACAGAGAACGGGCGGCTCGTCTGCCGTTCTAGCCAGGGCTTCCCTCCCCCAGGCTGCTTGTCAACCCACCACCCCGTTCCCCACCCTCCAGGGGCCGTCTCCCTGAAATGCCCTCTGCCTTGCTCTGGGGGGCAGCAGTGCCCTCCTGACGGGAGGCTGCCTTCTCCCACGTTCAGGCTCCGGCTGGGCCCACAGGGACAGCGGTGCAGCAGGGACTCCCCCTGCCCTGAGACAAGGCCCCGGGCCCTCTCCTCACCCCCAGGCTTCTGTCCAGATCCCTGCCGTCCTGGGACAGAGTAGCTACTTCCCCAATCTCTGGGGCTTCTGGAACACAGACAGCCAGGCATTCTCAGCCCCAGGAAATCGGTGCTTGCTCTGGGCCTGGCGTCAGACTCCTGGCTCTGCCACTTGCTAGCTGTGTGGTCTTAGAAAGTCACTCGCCCCGGCTCCTCCCCGGCTGAAAAGAGACTGTAACAGGAGCAGCTGTGTGGGGTTTGTTTTGAAGGTTAAATGGGGTCATCTACCCCATACTCGTAGTTCCTGGCACTTTGACCTAGAGCTCCCATTTTCCACAGTCACTTCTGCTGTAATACAACATACATGCTCCCAAAGATCAACATGCTACATAAAATGACGCAGTAAAAATTTTGTAGGGTTTCTGGGGAGATAGGGCTCGGGGCACCACACTCAAAAACTTGGTCAGTGACACATTAGAAAAGATAGGAACCTAACAAACACACTGGCGCCGCTCTGTTCCCATGAAATGGTTAAGAAATCCAGAGCTGCGGCGGTCAGCCTAGCCCTCTCCCTTGAGAGAGACCTGGAGTGGACTTTTAGAAGGTGCGGGAAGGGGAACACAGAGGGCTGGGAGAGGAACAGTACCACGGGGGGGTGTGGGGGCCAGGCCGTCGGCCCCTGGGGAGCCGAGCTACCAGGTCCCCTGGTGTTTCTGTCCACGACATTGTGCCGGGGAAACAAAATTTTGTGTGACGCTCAAGATTGTTCCTAACGTCTCAGTCACCTTGGGACAAAGCAGTGTTTTGAAAACAAGTGTTTTGGCAGAACTGGCCGAACTTCTCTCGTCAGCTGTCCCGGTGCCCCACCCCCACCTGTGCTCAGGGCCGTGAAGCCTGGGCGGGGGGGTGGGGTCTCGAGCCAAGGGGTGAGGTGGCTCCTCGGTCTCAGTGCTGAAGTCGTGCTCTGTCTCCTCCCAGAATCTGACCTACGAGATCATCCTGACGCTGGGGCAGGCGTTCGAGGTGGCCTATCAGCTGGCCCTGCAGGCCCAAAAGTCCCGGCCCCTGGGGGCCTCCGCCGCCGAGATGATCGAAACGAAATCTTCCAAACCGGTGCCTAAGCCTCGGGTCGGCACGAGGAAGTCAGCAGTACGTGAACCTGCCGGGCCTCGAGGGCGTGGGGTGGAGCGGGTGGCCGGAGGGGCTTCTCAGCCACAGGCAGCCGGCCCCTCCGAACGGGCCGCCAGCTCCTCTCCTGTGCCCGCCCCGGCCGCAGGCTGCGGCCCCCTCCCTCGCCAGGCGCCCCCGGGGCCGGCCCACAGCGAGCCCCCAGTAACACCACCCCGTGTCTGTGTCTGCTTTGCTCTGCGCCCCAGGTGCTGCCGCCCCCCGATAGTCGCTGTTGTCACTGTCACACCTGCACCACCCATCGTCCTTCTTACCTACCGCTGCCGTCTGTTAGTCCTGGAGTCAAGGTCTTTACACCTCCTGCTGTCTGTGTGTCAGTCTCCCTGAAGTGACCGTGAGCTTTCTGAGACGCTAGTGGCCTCCCCCCACGCCCCCACCCGCATGACATTCTTTCCCGAGCCGCCCTCCTGCCATCCCTGTCTGTGCTTTAGCTCTCTGTTTCTCTGTGTGTCCTCTCTGCCGAGGCCCGGGGTGTGCTCTCAGGTCCCGCCCAAGGGACCCGAGGCTTGGGGTTTCCCAGCCTCGCACCCCCTTCCTGCCACCATGAACAGGTTTGGGGCTCAGAGCACGATGCTCGGGTCGGGCAAGGCTCCTTTACCTGAGCAGCTCTGAGAAACCCCTGGGAGAAGTCGCCCCTGAAGAGGCCTGGAGGTGGCCCTCCCACGATGCTCTGGGGAGGGCGCCACTCCTGCCACCCCAGCCCTAGGGGGCTTGCTCTCTGAGAACAAGGGCCGCCGCTCATGTCCCTCGTGCTGGCACGATGCCAGCACGGCCCCAGGCAGGAAGAAGGGACAGCTGGGCCCTGCTGCCCCCCAGCCGGGTGCGGCGCTCCCTCTCTGACCCCTCACCCTTCTTCCTTGGCAGCTGGACCCGCCCGATACGGACCCGGATGCCCAGTCCCACGCCAGCGTCTCCTGGGTGGTGGACCCTAAACCAGACTCTAAGCGGAGCCTCAGCACCAAGTATGAGACCACTATCTTCTAACCGCTCACTCCCTGTCTCCACTAGTCTCACTGTGCCTTGCCATCCGACCTCTGCTCTTCTCAGCTCTCCTTCCGGCTGCTGACGCCAAGGCCCCGCCCCGGGGGGGCCCTGCTCCCCCCGCCCCCCCCGGCAGCAGCTCTAGACACCACACGCACAGCTTGTACCCAACACCGCCGGACACTGTGAAGTCCCCGCCTTGGGCGAGGACAGCTTGGCGGGGGAGGGGGGTGAGTTGCCTTTGAGGTGGGCACCAGGAAGCCTCAGCGGGCAGGCACTGTGAATCCTGGGGGCGGGGGGCCCAGTCTGCGAGCAGTCCACCAGTGAGCGCCCCTCTGACTAGGCCGGGCTCTCTGCTCTCCTCCCGCCTTCTATGCCAAGCCGCAGCTGGGTGCCGCCGCCTAGAGCGAACCGTCTTTTTGCACCTTTCCTGACACAACCAACCACTGTGACCACGTGGTGCCAGAATCCCCTCGCAGTCCGCTCACGGCTGGCCTGCGGCCCCATCCCTCCCTCCTGCGAGAGCCCGAGCTCCGCGCCGTGGCTCGCCTGGGGCCAGACTGCATTCCGGGAGGGCCCAGGGGCCCCGGGCACAGGCCTGACTCGGCAGCGTGGAGCCCTGTGGAGCCCCAAGCGTCTGAACCCCCGTGGGCTGGCTTCCCTCGGCAGGCCTCTTGGTCCCCAGAGTCGCGCTCCCGAGGAATGGGATGGCCTGTGTGTGTGTGTGTGTGTGTGTGGGTGGGGTCGGCCCCTCCTGCCTTCGCCGGGGAGTCGCACGGCTGGCTCTGGAGTCTAGCTCACGGAGGAGGAAGGCCTTTCTGGGGGACCCAGCGAGAGGGAGGCCTGTGCGCTGCACACACGCTGCGCCTTCTTCCCTCACAGAACCCAGCCGCTCGAGGACAGGGACCCGGACCAAGCAACTCCCCTGGTCCTCCCGGGACTTCCTGTCACTGCTCCGCAGTGGGGGGGTCAGAGATAGTCAGCCCCGCTCAGCCTTGAGTCCCCTGAGAGGGGAGGCTGTGGATCGTGGAGCGGAGGCTTCGAAGAAGCACCCCGGTCTCCGGGGCGGGCTGGTCAGCTCAGGTGGCGGGAGACAGGAAAGCACGGTGCCAGGAGGACGTGCCACCAGCACAGCGTAGGCTGGTAGAGAAGCCTAGAGAAGCCTAGAGAAGCCGGGAGCTCGCGGCGGTTCCTGGAGAGGCGGAGGCCAAGGTGATAAGGCGGGCTGGGCGCCCCTGCCCGCCTGCCTGTCCTGGTGCCTTCCCGAGCCACGGGCGCTCCGGGGAGGCTGTGAGGGACCTTCCTTCGCTTCCATGCTTCCTTTCAGTTTCCTCCACCCTGTGCAGGCCCCTGTGGTTAACCCTTTCCCCCCCCGTTGTGTTTGCTTCTGCCAAGCTGAGCCACTGAGGAACCGACTGTGCTGCAGAAACACAGACGTGCGGAGCACAGGCTCCCACCTCCGCGGCCCCCACCACCGCCGCCGCCGCCACTGTGTCACCTGCAGCCTCGAAGACCCAGGCCTGGCCTCTGCCGGGAGCAGCTCCGTGGGGCTGCTCGGCCTGGACCTGCCGCCACCCGGTCTTACAGAGGGAGCCGCACTCCAGGCCTCGAGCAGATGAGACTGGAGCTCCAGAGAGCCAAGAAGTGACTTGTCCAGAAGACATTTTTTAATAGAAAAAAAATTTTTTTCTAGAAAACGAATTTTTAAGACTCGGCTCAAACCTCTAGGTTAAACTGCCAATCTTTAGACAGACGGCCACGGGATCAGAAGACGGGGGTGCCCCAGAGCGGCTCCGAGGCCGGCTGGCGCCGCCTTCTGCCCCTGGGATGGGCTGTTGGCGCCGTCCGCGAGGCTGTGGGGGGGGGCAGTGCCCTGGGGGTGAACGGAAAGCAGGCCCAGGTGGGTTTGTTCGAGTCTGCCTTTCAAACCCAGCCAAGTCAGTTGCTGTTCCTTATGAACCGCACGACTTCTTGTCCCCGTCCGGAGCCGGACGCTGCCTCTGCAGTAAGAACAGGCCCCAGACGCACCTGGCAGAAGCAGAGACTCCCGGTCCGTGTCTGGGCTTCCAAATGTGAAGGTCTGGGGGCCAGACGGAGCTGAGCAAGCCGTGCCCGGGGCCATGAAGTCGGGGCCGCTCCTCGGCGCCAGAGCCCAAGGTGGCCAGGGCACCGGGCCCCGCACTCTCTGGCGACCTCAGACTGCCTGGGTTCAGTCAGAAAGGAGAAAAAGCAGCTTTGTTTCGGGCATTAATGGGTAGGTCGGCTAAGACGGCTACCTGCCAATTTGTGATTTGTCTAATCAGGTCTGTGTGACTAGGACTCGCTTTGATTCTCTGAATTATTGGTTTGACTGTTGTATTTTCAGCTGCTGGGTTCATCCCTGGCTCCAGGTGTAGAGAAGGCTAAAGAAGGGGACAGTTGATTCGGTTCTCCCCCAGTGTGGCCTTCAGGGCAGACTGGGGTCCTGGCGCACCACTACCACTTAAGGCCTCCTGCTGGCTTGCTTCGCTTGTTGACTTGGACTCTTGCTCTGTGCTCCTGAGGGTGGTAGAAGCAGACGGGGTAATTCCTGTGAGGCCGAGAGGCAGAGCCGGCTGCGCTGCTGGCCCAGTACCTTCTAGAGTAGGGAGCAGAGAGGAGCCGTTCCTCCCGGGGGTAATTCAGCAGACCTCATGCTTTGCTGGCACAGGGCGGGCTACCCCCAGGACCCACGTGCCAGGCTTTGGCGGGACTTCTTTCCCAGCAAAGGCTGTGAATCGGAATTCCCTGTGGGTTCCGTGCACAGAGAGTGCTCTCGGACACACTCCCCACCCCAGTGGTGGCCAGAAACGGAAAGCCCGGCCCCGTCCTCCTGCTGCCTTGAACCTGGGCCCCGGGGGCGGCACCTCCTCTGGAGCAGGGGCAGGGAACCCTCCACTTTCCGGTACTAAACAAGGACCTCAACGCTTGAAGTCTGGCTTCGCTTCCTGCTTCTCCCAAGGCCTGGGAGCCTCCCGTCAGCTCCCGCCACGCATGTTCTGTTCCCCCCCCCCCAACCACTACCACCCCGCTGGCCCGCGAGAATTGACCAGGGAACCGGAGGGGTGGGCGCCGCTCCCTCCCCTGCGGGGGGCCTGGCCTCAGCTAAGTGCGCCTCTCCTCTCCGGAGGCGGCAGGTCCAAAAAGCAAACTGTAGACACTACGATGAGCTGTTCGAGCCGTCTTTTTGTTTTTAAATCACACGTAGGTGTTTCCTCCCCTTGAAGCTGCTATATCTTTATTTATTCAGGGTGTTGTCATATTGGAAAGCCTTAGCTAATCCTCTCTGGCTCTGGGTTTGCTTTTGAGATTGGTTTATTTCTGAATAGTTGAGAAGGGTAGGGACTGGATCTTTCTTTTGTTTTTACTTCTCCTCCGGGGCAGGTACTCTCTCTCCCCTCGAAAGGGGCGGTGTAACTTCAAGGACAGGCTTTGAGCGGAAAAGCCCCCGCTTCGCTTCTGCACCGGCGTTCGGCGGCGGGGTCTGAGCTGTGCGGGGGCCCCCCCGGGCAGGACTTGCGAGGGAGTCAGTACCTTCCCCGGCCCCAGCCCCCAGCTTCTCTGCTCACCGCTCTGAGCCATAGGACCCTTCTTGCCGGGCTCCGCGCCTGCCAGGCTCCACACGCCTCCTGGGTCTCTAGCCTCAGAGTCTGGCGGGCGTTCCTCGAGAAGCCTCTGGCCGAGCAGGCAGCCATGGTGGTGGCCGCCGCTCCCACAGTCAGACGCTTGTCTGTCCTCGGCCCGCCTGCGAGAGGCCCAGGCCTGCAGCGTGACCGTCACAAGCAGCTCGCAAAAGTATTGTTGCTAACGGGGTGGCAACGGGACTGAATTGTAATAAAAATGTTATTTAATCTTTGTCTCTGTATTTTGATACTTGAATGAATTCCCCTTTTATTTTACTGTACATATGATTGTTAATCTGTCCGATTTTGTCCGAATTACAAACATCTTGTGGTACCAAACATAACGAATCTGCGCAACAGTGTAGACTGACCTCACGACACGAGAGAGAGTGTAAATATTCCTGGGCTTCCAGCTTCGGTTTGGTTATTTTCATAACTGTACAACCTAGAACAGACGGAATTAATAAATGAGAAGCAACATGAAACCAGCCTTCCTTTTTGGGAGTTTTTGAATTGGAAAGCTTCTTGACGGTTCTCTGGCAGCAGCGCAGGCCCGGGCTGTAGGCTGTAGGCCGGCTCCGGGTCGCTGACGGGGGTCCCGCGCTGTCAGGGACGAGTGTGGGGATGCCGCTCTGTCTGGTGGGCTGCCAGCGGGAAGCTGCCAGCGATCATCCATCCGTCCACCCCGTCTAGTTGCAAGGCCTCTGTGCTTCAGCTTCCCCTCCTTAGAACATCTCCTCTGAATCCCAAGCAGGGGCCACGTTCTGGTTACGGATCCTCTGCATCCTTGTCTGGGCTTGTCGACCCGCAAACATTTATCGACTGTCTGTACAAGGCAGTGTGGGAGGACCGAGAGCTGTGGAAGAGGAGTGTCCCCCGCAAGGAACTTCCTTTAATTGTGACGATTACGTCTGAGACGTGCACAACTGGCTACCGACCCAAAGCCACGCTGAGGCCACACCGGGCGGGAGCGTCCAAAGGCACACGGTGCTCCTGGAGCTGAGGGGGGACAGGGAAGGAGGGGCTGGTGCCTGGGCCGGTATTGAAAGGGGAGGGCTTGGAAAGGCACGAACGGTACTACGAACCCCTTCACTGACGGCATCTGGGCTCCAAAGCCCGCTAGCAGCTCTCCAGGCATCCGTCTTGTTCACTCTGAGAAAGCAGCCAAGGCTCAGAAAGGTCACCACGCCTTCCCAGGGCCAGCTGGAGAGGACCTAAGAAACCATGCCCTCCAGTGGCTTCCAGCCTCCTCAGAGGCCCTGGTCCCATGCCTGCCTCCACCCCAACTGCCTAGCGCTTAACACTTATAAAGACTTATTAGAAAGAGAGAGAATATGGGGGGGAGGGGCAGAGAGGGAGAGAGAATCTCAAGCAGACTCCACGCTGAGCGCAGAGCCAGATGGAGGGCTTGGGGCTCCATCCCACGACCCTGAGACCATGACCTGAGCCAAAATCAAGAGTTGGACACTTAACCAACTGAGCCACCCAGGTGCCCCAGCACTGAACACTTATATAAATGAGTTTGTCAAGGGCTTTAAAAGTGAAAATCACTAGGGCGCCTGGGTTGCTCAGTCGGTTAAGCATTTGCCTTCGGGTCAGGTCATGGTCCCGGGGTCCTGGGATCAAGTCCTGCATCGGGCTCTCTGCGCAGCGGGGAGTCTGCTTCTCCCTCTCCCTCTGCCTGCCACTCCCCCTGCTTGTGCTCTCTTGCTCTCTCCCTGTCAAATAAAATCCTTAAAAAAAAAAAAAGAAAATCACTGATTTAATCCAATACCCAACTATATTTCTGAAGAAAACAAGGCCCAGAGCGGGGACAGGTTTTTCCTAGCCAGCCAGCTAATAGACCAGATCCCAGCTTCTCACTCCCAATTAGGGCTTTTTAGGCCAGTGCACGGCCCCTGGGTAAAGAGAGTGAGGTCCAGGCGTGGAGGGCCTCATCATCCTCACACCCCTGCACACCCTGGCAGAAGAAACCTTACAGCCAGGCGGAGGAGGTCTGGCCATAATTCGTGTCACTGTGGCTCTGGAACGGGGCCCCAGGACACAGTCCACTGTCAGAGTCCCCTTCGGCCTCACTGAGAAGCCTTACAGCCGTGACTCTTGGGCTGCAGTGCTGACGGTGCTGATGGTGCCCTGGGGGCCCGCGCCTGGCCCAGTGGGAACGACCAGTCTGGCACGAGTGTGGGCTGGGGCCGCTGCGACAAAGGAATGGATGGGGCCCGCTCGGCGGGAGTGCATCTGCCTGCCGCGTCCTGCCTCTGCCCCGTTCCCTGTGATGCCGGCTAGAGCGTGCTCCCCGCGCACGTCCCCTCAGGACCTGGAGGCTGGGAGCCGGCAGGAGCCCGGCACGGCTCTCTGCTCTCATCTCAGCGTGGAGGGTGAGGTAGACCCTCACAGGCCCATGCACTCCTCTCTCCCGCAGGCAGCGCCCGCGTCCTCAGCAGCTCCGCCTCACAGACACTGCGGTCCGGGAAGCCAGGCAGCTGGCTCGTTCCTCCGTAGGCTGCGGCGGGTCACCCTTCCGGCAGTGACCAGGCGACTGAGGAAGCAGAACCGTGCCGACTGGAGCACCTGCTAGGGCAGCTCAAAATGCACTCTTAGCCCTGGCCACCTCTGGCTTCCTCCACCTACAGCGTGTGCAGGTCCCACCCGACAGCCAGCTCATGGGGACAGGCGGACCTTTCAGAATGTTCCGCAGTTCAAACACCCAAGGAGCACAGAGGTGTGAACGAGCCACCGCTCGGGGCAGCGTCTACAACTCGGGGGCTCGTCTTTCAGGCCTCAGCTATTAGGAACATTACTTTAAACAAGCCTTTATCAAATAAAAGAGTTTCCCTAACACCACAAAATATTTGTTATCCAGTAAATGGGCCTGGGACAACTGCATAGCCACAGAGGTTGGGGACAGTACGGGGATTCCTGTGCCTACTTACAGCAAAATAAATACCAGATAGCTCACATACTTAAATGTAGAAAAAATAAAATAAAATCCCAACAAAGCTAGAAGAAAATAGGGAGACTTTTTTCCCCCACAATCTTGGTACGAGAAAGTTCTTTCCAAGCATGCTGCAAAACTCTGAATCCATTTTTTAAAAGATTAACATATTCAACTATATAAAAATCAAACATTTCTGCAAAGCCAAAAGCAACATTTAAAAAAAGAACAATTAGATCCATCACACATCATATCCAAGGTACATCACAGTTAAATTTCTGAAAATGAAAGACAATTTCTGAGCCCAGCAAGAGAAGAACCTTACCTTGTCTACAGGGGACAAGTAATGTGAATGACAGGGGATTTCTCCGCAGAGTTGTGGAGGCCAGAAGGAAGTAGCATATTTCTCAGGTGCTGAAAGAAAAAACGAGCCAGATCCTACAGCCTGCAAAAATACCCTTCCGGAATGAAGAGAATCAAGACAGCCTTGGATGAAAGAAAAGAAGGGACTTACCTGCCAGCAGGCCTACCTTAAATGAATGATAAAAAAAACAAACAAAAAAACGCTTTTCAAAGAAGAAGAAGGTAGCGGGAGGGGAGGAATGAAGCGGGGGAAATCGGAGGGGTGGACGAACCATGAGAGAAGATGGACTCTGAAAAACAAACTGAGGGTTCTAGAGGGGAGGGGGGTGGGAGGATGGGTTGGCCTGGTGGTGGGTATTGAGGAGGGCACGTTCTGCATGGAGCACTGGGTGTTGTGCACGAACAATGAATCATGGAACACTTCATCTAGAACTAATGATGTAATGTATGGGGATTAACATAAGAATAAATAAATAAATAAGGAAAAAAAAAAAGATACTATGGACCTATATGACATATTTAACAAAAAAAGTTAAAAAAAAAAAAACGCTTTTCAACAGAAAGGATAGGATATAAGGAGGAGCTTTGGAACACCAGAAAGGATGAACAAACATTAAACAAAAATATGGGTAAACCCAATAGACTTTCCTTCTCTTCAGCTTTCTAACATGTTTCATAGTTGAAGCAAAAATCATAACACAGGGGCACTTGGGTGGCTCAGCTGGTTAAGCGTCTGCCTTCGGCTCAGGTCATGATCCCAGGGTCCTGGGATCGAGCCCCGCATCGGGCTCCCTGCTCAGCGGGAAGCCTGCTTCTCCCTCTCCCTCTCCTTTCTATGTTCTCCTCTCTCTCTCTGTCTCTCTCAAATAAATAAAATCTTTAAAAAAAATCATAACACAATCTAATGTGTTTCTAAATATATGTAGAAGAAATATTTAAAATGATTATCTTTTAAATGGGGGTGGGGGTAAAGAACTGGTAGATGACGACACCAGTAAACTATGGCAAGCTATGCATTTATGTAATACCTAGGGAAGACACTAAAAAAATTATGCAAAGAGATAAACTCAAAAATGCTATGGATAAATCAAAATGGAGTGTCACATTTTTTTCAAGTAACTCAAAGGGAGACAGAAAAAAATAGAAAAATAAGAACAGAATAACTAGAAAACAAAATGGCACATGTAAGCACTAACATATCATAATTACATTAAATTAAAAGGTCTAAAAACATGAATTAAAAGAGATTGGCAGAGTAGATTTAAAAACGTGAACTATATGCTGTAAAGAAACACACCTCAACTAATATAAACAGGCTGAGAGCAAAAAGATAGAAAAAGATACATAATGCAAACATCAATCAAAGGAAAGCAGGAGTGGCAATATTAGTATCTCATAAAGTAGAATTCAGAGTAAAGAAAATTATAAGAAAGAGAGGGGCATTATATAATAATAAAGGGTCAGTGCACCAAGAGGCCACATCAGTCAATGTGTATGTGCCAAACAACAGAACTGCAAAGTATGTGAAGCAAAGACTGACTAAACTGAAAAGGGAAATGGACAAATCCATAAATGCTATCAACTGAAGCGTGTTCCACCAAAATTCCTATGTTGAAGCCCTAAGACCCACTGTGACTGTATTTGGAGATGGAGCTTTTAGGAGCTACGGTTAAACAAGCTCATAGGGTGAGGTCCTAATCCAGTTGGATTGCTGGCCTTATAAGGTAGAGGGAGGGAAGGCGGGAGGGAGAGCTCCAGACACAGACACAGTGGAAAGGCCATGTGAGAACATAGGGAGAAGGGTGTCCATCTACAAGCCAGGAAGCAAGTCCTCACCAGAAACTGACCCTGCCAGTCCTTGATCTGGGACTTTCCAGCCTCTAAACATGTGAGAAATAAGTTTTTGTTTTTTTAAGCCACCCAGTCTATGGTATTTTGTATGGCAGCCTGAGAAGACTAATACAATAAATATAGTTGGAAACTATCAACAACTGATAGAACAACCAGAGAGAAAATCATCAAGGATATATTAGAACTCAACACCACCATCAACCAACAGGATCTCACTGACATTTAGAGAACAATCTGGCCCACAAGAGCACAATGCACATTGTTTTCAAGTGCCCATGGAAAATATACTAAGATAAACTAATCCTGGGTCATAAACCAAACCTCAACAAATTTAAAAGA